CCGTCGGGGCACTTAGCGCAGCGGCATACTGCGACGTATGCGACGATGCGCCCACGGCGTAGAACGGCAAGAAGGCGAGGACCCCACACCAAGACCGGAAGCAATCGCGGCGGTCTTGGACTTGTTGAAGAAGATGCTCATGAGATGCGCAAACGAGACCATCGAGAGACCAAACGCAGCAAAGAAGAAGAAGAGCGTCGCGAGGTCGGCCATCGGAAACACGTGGCCAAACTTGAGCTCGAGCGCCATGGCGAGCGCGAGCCACGTGTAGACGGCGTGGTCGGCGAGGAGCCACGAGAGGCGCAGCGCCGTGTCCGAGACGCCCATCATCTTCATGCCCTCCGTGAGCCGCTTCTCCTTCTCGAGCACGATCTTGGACGTGAGCGACGGCACAAAGCGGAGGTACGACAGCAAGAAAACATGCCAAAGACCGGCTGCCCGCTCGAGTAGAAGGTCGACGACGTCGACGAGGGCGCGCCTGTCTGAAGGAGCCGCGGGAGGTTGGCCATGCACGTCGAGAGAAGCGCGGTGGTGCACTCGACGTTGCTCGTGCAGCTAAACCGAGTGTTCCACTTCGCGTCGGACGACGAGGCCGCAAACGTGGGAAGGAACCCAAGCACGACGAGCGCGCCGACTAGAAGGAGCGGCAGCAGCAGCTCAAAGAGCGCGCGGACCGGCCGGTGCTTGATGAGTTGAAAGTTCTTCCAGACCAGAATGCCCACTTGGCGTTCCAAGCGCAGGTCGCTCGCCGAGCGTTGGGACGTCTTGGCCACGCGCTGCTTGCGCCAGTGCACGAGAAGCCACAGAGGACCGACGATGCAGACCAACGCTGCGAGACTCAGCGCGATCATCGCAGCGGACGAGAGCGATGCGCACGCCAGCGGTGCAAAGAGGTACGTGTCGAAGAGCGCCTTGCACGCGCGCGTCGACGGCTCAGCGATGCATTGCGTCGCGGCCACCGAGGTGCTGCAGCAGGATGCAGCGCCGTCCGGACACGTGAGCGCACACGTCGAGGACGAGAAGACACCAGAGTTGACGAGGCACGAGTAGTAGCTCAAGTCCTTCTGGGCGGCGAAGAAGCACTGCTCCAGCTGCGTCTCGAGCCACGAGCTCATCTTGCTACCTTTCCAAAATGATGATGATGACCAAGGGTCGCCCGTAAAGTTCCACGACTGGTGACCGTCCGCAAATATGTCCACACCCACCGTCTTGCCAGCTTTAGTACTGCAGTGTAGTAAGCTTAGCCTCTAGTGCCTTCATTCGACGCTATCTAGAAACGACTCTCGTATTTTCAAGGTGCAACACGCAAGCTAGACAAGCGGGGATGCTGCTGCAGCCGGGAAGCAGGTTGAGACACTCGAGCTGGGCAGTGCGTCGTTGCAACCGAACGGCATGAGGGTTTCACTTGGCTTGTTCGCGCAGCGTGAGGGCGCGAGGCCTGCATTTCCGCTGCACCTCGGGTGAGGGCTGCATCCAAGTAGCGGAGATGGAAAACTACACTCGATGACTGTGCTGAGTACCAATAACCTTTGACGCTTCCCAACGAGACGTCGGAGTGTGTCAACTAGTGAAAGCGAACAGCAGTGCGAATGCTACTTTACCAGAATGGCCACGCAATGCCAACCAAACTGCACGAGTAACGATTGGCGCCAGCAAGGCCGTCAACGTATGCATGACCTTGTGGCCAGAGGCCAGACGAGTACAAACACGCTTAAATTGGCCCAGCGAGCACTCGTCTTTTGTTTTTTCGGTTGCTTCTATTGTCTTTTGTCTACTTTGAGAAACTCGAATCGTTTTGTTGCCGCACCACAGAAATTAACTCGCCAGTGCACATACCTGGTACTCATTCCATACTGCTAGATGTGCTCGCTGGAATAGCTGCTGGAATGATGGCTTTCTACCAGCGACATCCGTGCAGGTGGTGTCGGTCGCTCGGTCGGTCGCCGTACACTGTATAGCAGACTGTATAGTGTACTCTCTCTCGATCTTGATGCGTGCGGAGACTGCAATACCAACGCGTGGACCGGACAAAGAATTGCTGTGGAGCTTTGTACCTGGTACGATCCGACGACGCGACAACTTCAACAAGTTTCGACATTGCACATTTCTGGTCGATGCAGCATCCAAACGTGACGTACGCTGCCTCGAGACCTTACGACCATAGCTTAAGCGTCATCCAACACGGATTAACAATTAAGGTATAGTCTATCTACACATGCGATCAAGGGACGTCTCCTCCGGGTTCCAACGAACTCGCTGGCTCTGCGCAGCGAAATATTCGCGCTCGCTAGTGTCCGACACCCTGTCCGCCAAGTGCTTCGATCTTCGATTTACAGAATATTGGTTCCACGACGAGTCTCTCTCTCGCGGTGCAGTCTATCGCCAAGTCGCGGTATGGTCCGATGTGTCTACCCAAAAGCTGTCATATGCACGCGAGGTGCGACCCCAATACGCACTGCCCTCGCTAGCAACGCGAAGTAGCAGAAGCCACACAGGGTGGCCTTTCTGTTGCCATCAATGAATTGTCCACGCAGGCGTCGAACAAGGGTATAATAAAATGCATCTTTTATAAACGTACCCTTGCGTCGAGGAGTAACACGAAGAGACCGTACACGAGAAGGAAATCCTATCGACCTCTGCAATCTACACGCAATGTCGTCTCGTAGGTGGCTTTTCTGCCTGGATATTCCAATGCGTGTCCACTTGTCATATTGGGCGCGCCTCCTGCCGACGACCGCAATATATATTAGCACAATGCCACGATCTCATTGGCTGCTTTGCAATCCAGTGGCTGCAAACCGAAGTTCGAAGGGCATGTCGCTCCTGCTGGAAGATCGGCTGGCGGCTTGCCACGGTGGTCCATTTTCCGAAATGAGCTCCGCCGCGCTCGCCTCGCAGCTCTCCAGCTGCCTCAGCGACGCCGGCGGCGACTACGCCTACTACGCCTGCGTCTTTGCATCCGGCCTCTTCACATCGCCGAGCTGCGACCTCGCGTGCTCGGGCCATGGCTCGTCCGCGTGCTGCGACGCGCTTGCGACCGCGACCAAGTGCGTTGCCAAGACAGCAACTGCGAGCTGCAAGAAGGTCGTCGACAAGACCTTGTCGAGCATCACACAGTGCGGCGGCCTCTCGTCCGCCGCCGTCGGCTCCATCACGATCGCGAGCCTCTTGCTTGCGA